GAGTTGGAACTGGATGGGCTTTGAGGTCCCTTCCAACCCAAACCATTCTGTGATTCTATGATGATTTAAGTCTGACCCCACAGATCATAGAATCATCACAGATCATAGAATCATCACAGATGAGTAAGCATTTGCCACAGCACCAGAACCCTGTGGTCCCTTCTCACACAATTAACGTATTTCTGTAGCACAAAATCAATTTAATCCCTCACACCATATAGTCCAACCTGCATTCCTCCTACACGCTCCAAGATCCACATCAAACACCCCTGCAGAGCAAGGCTCTACTCCTTCCCCCAAGCCTGCCCAGTTTTATTGTACCTCCACTTGTTGTACTACATCCTCGGTGTCTCCTATCTCAGAGGTTGATACGGATGGATAGTTGGAATCGGACTCCAAACTGCTCTGGTTGGATGGGTTTCTCCTGTGCCCTGGTGCTTGCTGCCAAGGAGAGGTGCAGATACATAATGCATTCAGTGTTTAAGGAAGGATTCCTCACGAAGCATTGTTTCTTGGAGCAAATACGTGTCTATATATTAAGGTTACCTTTACAAAAGGCTTAACTGTCACCTTATAGTGAATTCCATTTTCTAGTTCTTATGTCCTACCACAATATTCATATTAACACAAGGGAATACTTTAAAATGTGAAGTGGTACAGAAGCTCAGTTGAAAAATTCTGCATGAATTAAGGGCTTTTCATGACACCAGATGCCTGTTAACTACAAACATGCAAATCTGAGTTCAAGATGATGCTGTTCACAGCACCCTCCAGGGCTTCCTTTAAACGTTCAACCTTTCACCTAATCCAGCATCACTTTAATTATTATCTAATTTTCAACAGTTCTTCTGACACTGAACCTAAAAACTTTGGCTTTTGAAATTCTGAAGCCATGCTGTTGCGTTTTGGTTTTGTTACTGTTTTTTAATGCAAGGCCTACACGTGAACATTGCTGAAGCAAAAAGCAAGACAAGCATGAACCAGCTTTTGCTGAGATTCACAGATAGCAGTTAACAGAAAAGTGTGAAAGATCAGGTTCCTTTTTGAACATATTGTTCAGCTTTAGTGTAGAAGTTCAGTCTTTGAAATATCAAGCACAAACTGCAAGATAATGTCAAATCTATTAAGTGTTTTGGGGATGAGTGAGCCACATTATCCAGCTATCAATATCAGGTCCAGGACACAAGAGAATAGGGACAATTTCAGTTTCATTACCTTTATAATGGTCATTTCATCCCGTAAATTGTCATATCTCTGCTCCAGCCTCGAATACTCTTTTACCAGGTTCTGATAACGAGATCTCTCTTCTTCCAGCTCTTTCTTCATTTGGATATTTTCCTCAACTGTGTTTTGTGCAAATTCATCTTTAAAATAAGAATTTAAAAAAAAAAAAAAAGATATTATGATCTTCATCTCTGAAATGAACTTCTTGTAAATATGTGCAATAAGAATGACTAATTAACAAAATTCTCTCTGCCAAGAACCTTTAAAATACATATAAGCATTCTCTAATATTTAGAGACTAGTATAATCTAGATCTGTCTCCTTGCCATTTGGAACAGCTTGAGCTCTTCTGCTCGGAGAGCAGAGTCCTCTGCCATTTGAATTAAAGAAAAATCTCCAGCACCTATAAACCATCAGATCTACTACATGTAACCCAGCTACGCCAGCTCCAGCTCTCATGGGCCAGCGATAAACCCACTTAAGAAAAGAGCAGCACAGTATGGAAATACATTCATGTTTAAGAAGCGGTACTTGCTGCATTTAAAGACTTCTCTATGCCTGCTTCCTGCCACTGGATTTGGCATCAAGCAAATCAACAGCAGCGTCTCTTTTTCATATCATCATCAACCATTTACCATGGTAAGACTGTGGGGGTTGAAAGTATTTTATATCCAAATAAATTCTTCTTTTTTTTTAAAAAAAAAATAATTGCCTTTTGGAAGCAAATCTGGTCCCTCCCCTTTCTGAGAAACCAGGCAAATACAGTGTATGCGTCCTTTTAAATGGGTGAATATCAAACCAAACCTCTCCACTTCCTTTCCCCAAGCTTCGATGCTCTGAAAGCATCCCATAAGAGATGAAGAAATATTTGCAGCAAGTTTCTTTTTAGCATGTTATTTTCATTCCTTTATTTTGCATCGGGCTGAGAACAATAGGTACTTCTTGAGTACCATGGAGCAGTGACAGATACATCCACAGAATGATGCATGATGCTTTTTGTAAATCCTGCAACAAAATTAAAGCTGAAAAGGATGATAAAAAATAAAAAAAGCTCAATACACGCATGAGAGTTTCTTTTGTGGCTTAGCATTTTCCATGATTGCTTTCCTCTATGTATGTTTCACCATCTAAGTCTCTGCTTTAAAAAACACTCACAGACTCCTGTCATGTTAGAGAAATCCTTTGTCACAGCTCAGTATTGTTAACTGTGCTGTTCCTTGGATCCTTTATTAATCAATCCTGGGACGCTGTTATTCTCTACCCTCCATCCCTAGCAGCCTCACTGCCTCCCACATCATCCACAGTAAATGCTGCAACATAATTCAACTAAAAAGCCCTTTTAAGCACTTTATTCCATATTTCACTAGTTAAACCAGCCTCTGTCTTGCCATCCACCAGCGGGACAGCATGAACAAATTGTCCCCACAACAAAAACAACGACAAAAAAACACCAGGAAAGGGGTGGGGGAAGATTGACACTTTTTAAGGTAGGAAAAGCATGCAGGAAAAACAAGTTTGAGGGAAGAACAGTTAAAAACTCCTCGTTTAGTAGAGGCATTACAATACTATAAGTATTTTTTCCTTTACCTTCAGACTGACACTGGATCCTGCTGTTAAGCTCCTCTTTCTCCTGCTTCAGGAGAGCATTTTCTTCTTCCAAGTCGGATATGCGCTACGAAACAAGGGAAAGAATTACTGCTTGCTGCAGGTCAGAGCCTCTGCAGAGGGATTACATTTCACCTGGCTGGAGACAGGGAGCTTTGTTCGGGCTTTCTTTGCTGTTTAAAAGCTCTGTCCCCTTGTGCTTTGCCAGTTATCCTTTGTGCATCAGGAGTTAAAGCATAGGAGCACTGCAACAAGAGATTAACTTTTCTTTTCCTGAGCGCATTTCTCCCTTAAATTAATGTTTTCAGCAGAATCATACAAAACACTGAGCAGCTGGACTTGGTGACCACGATCTGCAGGAGTGAAACACCTACAAGTGATCAGGTCACCAACGTAGAGGTTTATTTTCACATCTCAACAGGCTTCATCCCTATCTTCAATTCATAGCGTTGACTGCTGTTGGGGAAAAGAAGTCTGCTGATTGTTTCAAGCAACGTGGCCCTTAAGTAATTAAGATGGACACAGAGAATGTGAGCACTAATACTAAATAGTTCAGGCTTTTTTAACTTTACATAGTAAGATTATAGTCACTACTGCAGAACCTCTAGTACAGTGATGCACAGTGTGTACCAGGGCCTTTTGTAATACAACAGGAGCACATAGAGCAATTAACACCAATGATTGCCTAGCAAAAATTAATGAAAACAGAAACTAAATCCTGCAAAATAATATTTTATTTTATTTTTTTAACTACCTCTTTATTAAAAATGAAGGGAAACAAGGCCACCTGTGACAACAAAAAGGCTGGACTGATGCTGACAGCAACCTATCCTGTAATTTTGTTCATCCTCAGGAATTTTGATGCATTCAACAGCGTTACCTCAAAATACAAAACCATCACATTATTAAGTGAAATATGCTGCTATGGTTAAGCAGGATTATTCTGCTGCTGTCAGGTAGGAGAACAAACTGACATATCATCCCAGCATAATGTCATTCCCTATGCCTGCTCCATCACATCCTGTAGCCACGGCTTAGAAAACAGCTACACGTAACAGAAGGATCTCAAGATGCCAAAGATAAATAACACTGTACACACATTACAAAAGTTTTCAGTGCCCACGAATAATAATTTTGCTGTCACGACTAGATAAAATTTATAGGCAGCCCAGCTGGCATGCATTCCTAGCACAGACTTCAGTCTTCCAAACAAGCATCCTCAAATCAAGGTATTTTATCAAATATTGCATATGTCAGATACATACTAATCGTAAGGGTAAAAGCACAACAAATATTTCACTGTAAGTCACAACCAAAGCAGTCATATCCCATGCACAGGAACTGGAAGATCCCACTATCCCTCACTCTCCAATCCATTCATTTAGTCCAGCTTCCTCCATGAGACTATAATCTCCTGCATCTCTACATATAGTAGGAAAGTTGGAGTCTGGAGATACAACTAGAAAGTGAAGACAACACAATTTAAGGTACGCAGAGCTACTGGTGTTTTAAATGCTCTGGATTGAGCCATGATTTTAATATTCTGTACCAAAACTAACTCCATTCTTTCATACGTACATCACTTCAAATAAGCAGACATGCAGCCATTAGATCAGCACTAGTGTCTTCAAGTTAGGAAGAATTCTTAAAAAATTTTCAGAAGAGCTGCAAGAGTGACAGAAGGGAAGGAAAACGTGCGCTGCAATGGGACAGCAAGGAATTTGACTTTTTTATCCCATAAGGGAAAAGATTAGGGATGATGGGATTATTTCACTAGTGCTCTTTATTCAGTGCTGATAATGAACTCTTCTGCCCAGAAAACAAAGTTAGGATGGTTGGAAAACAAAACTGGACAAAAATTTGGAGTATTTTCAACTGTGCTGGGGCGATATTTTAGAACTGAAGGTCTTGGTAGAACCCGCAACAATTATTCCCAGGTTTAAAAATTTCTAACCCAGATTGGATATAGATATTTTTAAGATGTGATGTTAAGCGATTGCACTTGTTTATCACATTCCTGTTTCTATACGAGACAGAAACAAGCTGGAATTCAACATCTGTCTTTACAGAAACCCAAAGAGGATGGTAACAGTCCATCAAACACACGTAGAGGCAAGCGGAGCAGGTTACACAACGGCCAAGCAGCACAAACTCCGTCTCTGGTACCAACACTGGTACCTTTTGTATCCCTTGCTCATCTTTCTATAGGAAACATCTTTGAAGTTGCTTCAAATATAACAGCATCTGCTTTGAAGGATTTCTGTGGAATACATCATCCTAGCTCATCCATTGAGAAGATTAGGTGCTACCAAAAGCCCTAGCAATAGCTGTTGGTGCTCACATGGATCTGATAGTTTAACCTTCCCCACAGGAATAAGAAGGGCTATTCTAAAATTAAGGAATCATAAGGAAAAGCTATAAGGAAGAGATTAAAGGACATTTTTTCAGTAACAAAATCCTAACTAAGGTGGATTTGCAGAAGCTGCAGCCCCAGCTCAAGTCGGTAAAATTAAGGCTGTCATCTCAGTCTCACTCAGAAGTGTCTCATGACTTCGGGTATTGTCTCCAGAGCAAGTGCATCCCACCACAACCACGGTGCAGTCTTGCTATTGAAGGTGAAAAGTGCTTCTCTCACCTGAATTCAGTTTCACAACACTCCACATGTTTTTTGCAGTTTGTAGAACTACTCAAAAATCTCTACCAGAATTTTTCTTATAAGATAAATTTTTGGCTAAATGAATGTTTCCAGGATGGAAACAAGTCTTCTCCATCTTCCCATCGACAAGGAACCAGTGGGAGCAATTGAAAGCTAATGCCAGAAATGTGCAGCCTGCACTGCACAGTAGAAATGTTTTATAATTAAACCATTTATTGTCATGGTAAAGTGCACAGTATTTACTCTGCTGTAGGCACTTCTACAACAAGGAAAAGCTTCTTCTTTATTTTCATGCTTTTTGAAAGCATTTCTTTGGTCATTAAGTCAACCTTTTACTGAGTGCTCAAAGGGGATTTGCAATCAAGAACAAAGAGAAGCAGTTTTTCCCCAGCTGCATCACCTTCACAATAAAGCATCCTTTCTGGCTCTAAGAGCCTCTGCTGCAGCCAGCTAATGAACCAAGCCCTGTGCCAAAAAGGATTGCCTAATTTGGTGCTGGAGAAAAGAAAATCACTGATTCCATACATCCCTGTGTGGGTGCAATACATGTGCACAAGAGCGGAGTAACTGATTTCGTGACAGGTCTTGGCCTGGCCAAGAGACAACAGACCTACAGGCTGAATGCCCTTTTGAGAAGCACACCCAAAAATGCATTTCAGCTGTGCTAATTGTTCCCATTAAGTTATCCTAGCCATAGACTCCCCACAGCTACTCACCATCTGAGGGAGGTTGGCCAGGGTAGGTGCTGCTGAGTGAAGTGCCCTAGAAGAGCCCCATCTGGACACTCTTCCACCATAATAAAAATGCAGCTAATCCCAGACCTTTTTTTAAAAAGAAAAAAAAAATCTCCAGAGGTGACTTATCTTCAGGTTGTCACACAAAAAGCACTGTTCTAGAGTAACAGCTGCAGAATTTTCTACGCAATGTATTGTGTAGAAAAGCCCAAAGTTTTTTCCAACTGCAGAATCAAAGAAACCTCTTCAACTGGTGCAGAAGAAGAAAGATCACGGACTTAACCTGAGCATTCACAGCAGGAAACTGAACCCTTAGTGCCTTAGATTATGAGAATGAGTGTGAAGTTTTTTCAGAATGAACCCAACCAGCAAAGAAAGTCAGGGTGAAAGGTCCAATGGCACAGCAGAAACCAAGCCTTCATGTCCCATCCCATACCCAGCTGCACTGAGGAAGGACGTCTTCTGAATATTTACAGCATCTACAACAGCCTTCTCCAATATTTTGCATTACGCGCCATGAAGAATCACTGTATATACACAAAGCTCTGGCATATTTGTGGTTTTTAAGTGCCCTTATTTCAGATGGGTCTGGGTTTGGGGAGTTTCTTCATGGCTGGCAGTGCAAAAGGCATCGAGACAGGGCATCCTCCTGACATGAGGCACTCACTGCTCCTGCAGGGATGTCCACCTGCCCTTGCTGCCCCATCACCTGGTTAAAAAGGCAAATTCTAGGGGCATTCAGTGACAAAAGGAAAAAAAAAAAAAAATAAAGAATAGAAATTAAGTCTTTCCCCTTCAGACTTGTGAAGGGCAAGCTTTCACCAGCATGACCACCTACACAACTGAGACGTACCTTTCTCAGTAGGTCTTTCTCCTTAACGTAGCTGTCTTCCACAACCTTCCTCTCACCATGAGCTTTTTCAAGCTCCAGCCGCAGGTGCTCCATCTTTTCTTGCAAGCTGACAAGCTGGTTGCCATCATCCTGGTGGCTCTGCTGGTATTGCACTAGTTCCTTCTTCAGCTTTTCCACCTCAGAGGAGTGGGCAGATGTGAGCGTAGAGAGCTGCTCGTTCAGAAGTTTGTATTCTTTGTTCTGCAGCCAACATCCCAAAAAGAAGAAAATAAGACCATAAACAAGATCAACGCATGCTCTACAAAAGTAACCAACAAAAATCCTTGAGCATGGTGGGTAACAAACTTCTGATAACGAATATTTCTATGCATATGCTAATAAAGCTCATAAAGCTAAAAGCAATTTCAAAACTGTGACAAAAGCTCAATAATATTTTGGTAACTATTATACACGCATTTGGTAAATTGATGTTACACTTGAAGCAAGGGCAAACAACACTTGACAGCACCAGCAACCAAACCAAAAAACCTACACTTTTATTACAGCTTCCAAATAACATTGCTTAGTGCAATTGGTTTGCAATTTTTTGGGGGTCTGCAATTTATCCTTTTATTCCTGACTCCTATGCCAGCAGGAGCCTGCAGTGACAATGTACTGTAGCATAATTGCAGCCTTGAGCACAAAGAGCTCCCTAAACCCCAGCTTTAAGTCACATGACAGCTCAATCACCTTTTTATTTGCTCAGATTTTCTCTTTTAAAGCCCTTAGCAATAATTTGCTCCCAAGTTTTGAGACCTGAAAATTCAGAAGCTTTGATTTTTCTAGCTCAAATCAAAGCCAATGGGAACAGCATTGTGACAGCAAGTTGAGCATGAGTCAACAGCGTGCCCAGGCTGCCAGGAAGGCCAACCGTACCCTGGGGTGCATCAAGCACGGCATTGCTAGCCGGTCTAGGGAAGGGATTGTCCCACTCTACACTGCGCTGGTGCGGCCTCACCTCAAGTACTGCGTGCAGTTTTGGGCGCCCCAGTACAAAAAGGACATAAACCTATTGGAGAGTGTCCAAAGGAGGGCAACAAAGGTGGTGAAGGGTCTAGAGGGGAAGACGTATGAGGAGAGGCTGAAGTCCCTCGGTTTGTTCAGCCTAGAGAAGAGGAGACTGAGGGGAGAGCTCATCGCGGCCTACAGCTTCCTCACGAGGGGGGGCAAAGGG